TATATATATATTATTGTGGAAATTCTGATTCATATTGAAATAAATTTAATTATTACTCAGTTATTTTTATTTGCATTTTTAATAAATTTATTATAATTTCAACAGAATATTTTCATCAGGGTAATTCTGCATTAATTATGTATATATGTTGCTCTCTTTTCTCTTTTTTTCTATTGCTTTTTCTGTTCGTATTTTATTTATCTTTATTTCTCAATGAAAATTTGTGAAATGTTTTATTTTTATTGATCAATTTTAATTTTACATTCTTTTGTGTGTTTGCTTTGTTTCCGCTTTCTGCAAATATGATTTTTATTACAAACATAACTAAAATATCCTATATCAATTTATATATTCTTCATATCTAGAAAATATGTATTTTTTAATAACAAGTCGATATAAACAATATTTAAGCAATTTATTTTGTTGCACGTATCCGGCATGCGTTTATGTTTCTTCCTACATATCTTTACTTATCTATATCTAATATGTTTAAAAAGTTCTGGTGATTTTAGTATAAGAAATATATATATATATATAACTGCTTTTTCGAAATATTAGTAATATCTACTTATCTAATACATATCTTCTTAGAATTCTAAAGATATCGTAATTTCTCTCATTAGATTAACGAAGAATATACTTTTTGTGATGGATTAGAGAAACTAATAATATATAGAAAATACAATTGCATGAATAGAAGTTGTAAAAACACGAAATCAACACAATTTGCTACAAAGTACAGCATGATTGCATTCGTTTCAACGCTTTTCTTTCTCTACAATTCGTTTCTCTCTTTTTGGAATGATCATTTCCATCACATCTTATCCGATGCAGCGGATTTATATTTCAATTTTTGATGATTTTGAATCACTCGATCGTTGTTGCATGTTATTTATAAAATTATTTAGATTCATTTTGTATGTATGTGTTTGCTGAGGAACTTATTATTTATATATATATATATATGCAAAATATACACGAACACCCATTTTAATACTGCATGTTGAGAACACAAAAGATTATTACAATAGATCGTAATATTAAAAAGAAACATTCCATTTGCTGATTACGTTTTGATAAAAATTGATAAAAACTACATAGCATGGATCATTTTCCTTTTGACATATATTGTAGGGGGCACATTCCTATATAATTAACGCTTTAAATGTTTTGGCGGTCTTTTTTGATTCCTGAGAAATGCAATATGAAATATTGCATTTGAAATATTATAAAGATAAAGTTTCTAGAAAAAAGATTTTAGTCCCCCCTTCTTCTCTTTCTCTTCTCTCTTCCCCTCTCTGTTTCTTGTAAAAAGAAATCTTTCTCTGTTTTTTTCTTTCCGTTTTAAATTGATATTTGTGCGATATCTGAAACAAATTTGCTTGTTTACTTTTTTGAACTTTTGCTTTTTGTCACATTAAGAAGGAATGTCGGTTGCAATATCTTTTTCATGTTTAAATATTCAATGTCAGCGATAATATACGGATAGCTTTCTAATTCGAGAAACGATTTAAAGATCGTTTCATTGGAAACGCATTCAAAAACGGATTTAAATAAATATCCAAGAATTCCGAGTGAATTCATCAGTGGATCCAACCCGTCTTTCGTCCGTTTTGGCCCGTATTCTTTAAATCAATCCAATGTTTTACAATGTTGTGCTCTTTTTTTTCTGTCTCGCTTTTGTCTTTTTTTTTCTCTTCGATTCCTACCTCATACATATCATTGTTCCACATACACGCACACATACATACATATACCTAACGCGCGCGCGCGTAGTGTATGTAATAGAACAATGATGTTAGAGAGGTAGTAGGTAAAGTATGTATCAAAGAGAGAAAAAAAATTTTTTTTGAATGTTTATATATGTATATCAACATCTTTCTTCCATTTTTATTTTTCCGATGCCGACTTACTGAAACGCTCTACGCACTCCAGGTCGAAGCATCATCACGAAGAAGGGCGATGGCTCTCAAGTAAAGGAATCCACTGATAGCAGCACAACGATCGAAGACGATGACATTAAAGGTAGGAAAGTCCCGCTCTTTTTTATGCGCCGCGTCTGTATCTCTTTCTCTTTCTCTCTCTATCTCTTTGTTTTCCTGATCGAAAGTTGCGCCAAGTTTTCTTAGCGACAATTATCCAGCTGTACTTATTAACGGACCAATTATAATTTGGCAGTGCGGAAAACAAGAGCATAAATCGATTTTGAAGATTATGTTCGTTTACAAGCTTGAAGTGTGATTAGAACCGGATGAGCCGACTTTCGTATCGAATAAATATATAAAACTTTTTGACGCGGAAATATTTGGAAACATTTATACGAGGGGGGGGGGGGAAGTAGGCGAATTATTTCCCATATAATATCGTTGGCGTTTCCCAATTTCGGTTGCCGTAACGAGCACTTGTTTAGAGCCGATTGGCATCTAGTGTTAAAGCACGTCAGCTTTATGTTCTCGAATTAAATTATGATAGCGATTACATCGATGTTGTCGCCGCCGCGACTACGCAAAGCGAAATGATAACCTGGATAACAAGTTCTTAGCTCCTAACAACTATACACGACGTATACCTACGTGGCCTCTTTATCACAAATTTGTTAAGAGAATTTAATAAGAAACTCGAGTACAAACAGACAAAGCAGCTTGATATCTGCATAGTAATCCATGATTAATGTATGGACGTTTCTAAATCTGAAAATATGTATTTACTTAATTAGAATCTAGTTTCTCTACTTATGTCATAGTTGAGCCTTATTGCAAAGATCAAGCTGCGTTTTGTCACTTTTGGATGTTATTGTTTATATTTGATGAAATATTTAGCTCAATTTTATGAGATAATATTAAAATAATTAATTTACTAAAAACAAAAGTTATTAAAACTACTAAAAAAAATTAAGACATTGAATACTCATATTAACGAATCGAATTAAGAGCATCATAATTTCATTCAAACGTAAGAAATTATATTGCATCAAGCTCTTTGCGTGTCTGCACGAAGAACACTCGATTTAATTAAATCAACCATTATTTTTTATTCGTTGTAACGCATATATACCTTTAACGCAGCAATTTCGAGAAATGAATTTGTTTTTAGTGCATATAAATGGAAGAAACACGCACATATTAATTCTTCATTAAAGATAAGATAAAGATTAGATAAAGATTAAAGATTCTTTTTGTTCTCATATTGATCGTTGGTTAATATTTAGAGTAGTTAAGTATCGTTGCTTATTCTCCGATCCTGCTATTTCCACTCTGCGCTTCATCATCTGTTCTCCAATCACGTATACATATACCACAAAAATTTATCAGCTGCAGAAAAACAATCAAAATTTATTCTTATTTGAAACAAGAAGTGATTTAAAATCATAAAATAAACATAAAATTGATATTTATATTGATTATATGAAATTAAACATTACAGAAGAGATTTATTTTGTTACGAAATTTTTACGTCACATTTATGTTGAATGTTTCTTCAAATCGATGTTTTAATCTTATAAGAATAATATCAAATATATTTTAATTTGTGATATATTTCTGAGATATACTTTTGGTCGTTTTACTTTTTAAAATATTTCTGTATAAAGTGGTTGTTTATTACTTAGCTCTCTTTTATTGTAATTTTATGTTAATTTAAAATAAGTGTTTTCCGTTGTTCAACTGTACCAAAGAAGAAATTTGAAGCGATACGTTTTTTTCATTCAGAGAGAGAGTGAAACCTGCAGATATTATTCACAAAATGCAGCAATAGTGTGGTGAGAATTGTCTAAAGTCACAGCAAGATCTGTGAGTGGATAGATGATTTAAATAGCCGGGTTCTGTCTGAGATAAAGAGTATTCAGGTAGACAGAAATCTGATTATTTTTAAAACATTCTATTCACTCAGAGATTTCGTTGCGACTTAAACAACTCTCACCATACTGCTGTTACATTCTGAATAATCTCTGCAGATTTTACCCCTCTTAAAAAAACATATTACTGCTCGCATTTCTTCTTTACAGTTAGACAATAAAGAGTATTCATTTTAAATTGACATAAAATCACAATCAAAGAGAGCTAAACAACAAACCACTCTGAACACAAAGACATTTTGAAATTATAATAAGTCATAGAGGAGCCAGTTATCTGTTCAGGGAAACAAAAAAGTCCCTTTACTTTTTGACTTGCCCTTATATATAGTATCATTATAGATAATGTTGGCTATACATTTATAATCAAGATTGATCTCTTTTTTTGCATTTTATTTCTCTTTTATTCGTTCGCATTTTTTGAAAAAAAAAAACCTGATTGTATATGTATGTTCTTCAAAGTTCAGCGAAGATACCTATGTGTATAAATGAAGAACAAGACATTTAATACATAATTGATCATAATATATATATATACAACTTTAGTTATATAATTGATTTCTAACAACTATAATTGATAATATATTTTTAATATGCATCAATTTTTACAATTAATATTAAAATTTTTATTTATTTTTTAAGCTTTATTATATAATATTAC